GGCAATCAGCATTGTGCTTACAGGGATTCTTGCGACACAAATCATCAGTAACCTCGCCTTTCAGCACCGAACTGCGATCGATGGTGACCACACCGAAGGGTGGCGGTAGCAGCAAATCATCCTCATTCAAAGGATACAATTCCACTATCATCGTATGTGAACCATTGCTCACTTTAACATCCTGTATGATACCCTTGAAATAGGCCTTTTCATCGATTTCCTTGTTGCGCGTAATTTCCTCGGGCACTGACATGGCGGTATCCGTATCAGTAGTGGCTGGTGTTTGAATTGGCTCATCATCTGGCGGTCCGCCGAGATAGAGCACTTGCGCATCGAGTAAACCCGTGGAGGACAGTGTCTTGCGGAAATACTCAGTGCCATTGAGCTTGACTTGGACGAGTGTCTGATTGCGCACCACTTCGATGAGATGATTGTAGCCATTGTCAAGTTTATTGCCACCCACCGTGTAGNAGTGTCACCTTTAAGGAAAAGATTTCGGGTTATGAGAGGATCGAAAAAGTGGATGTCGATATCGCTTTATTGGCTGAAAGATAAACAAGGGACACGCGAGAAAATCTTTTGTATCTGAGTCATTAAAAAAGTGAAAAGTGATTAATTTTCGCTTAATTTTCGCCTTCACCCACGTGTATACGAACACACAACGTTACCCGCGGGTACTGCGCAGTCGGCGTCGCCCAGGCCTGCCCATGATAGTTCCTAAGTCGACGGCCCAAGTTATATTCAGCCTCTTTTAGAAAAGCTCACAGTTTCTCGGTAGATGAATTTCTAACATTAAGGGTATTGACAGTGGAAAAACCGAAGTATTGCACTCTTAGTCTGGCCATTGCCGGAAAATAACATATAACCTAATCCGACGCCCCCTTCGCTTTGAGACAAAGACGACAATCCGTGTCTGTGGATAGGCCAATCTGGCGCATGTGAAAGCGCAGTTGATTATGACCAGTTAAATAACCAATAATTAGCTTCTTCTTGGCTCTATTCAAAAGGTTTATATCTTTTCAGCAAAAGGATAGCCTGAGCCTAGACCATATAAGGTCCCTTACCTCTCTCCAGTACTTGCCGCGTTCTGAATTTACCCTCGCCGCGATTATAATTTTCGAAGAGGATACACTTAGTCAACAAAATGGTTCCGGTCGGCGAGCTTGTTAACTGCGATCGAACAGTGCCCTGGTATACAGCAATATAGTACCGTGTTCACCTTCTTCTTTTAAAGCCATCTGACCTGTGGATTTTCTTGACCTAACGAATTCAACTCTTATTTGTCGCATACGATTTTTCACCTGCTATTGTTCAGAGGACAATCTCTGTACTCATTTGGAAATAAGACCTTATTCAATTGGTCATTTTCAATGCCTAAACTATGATGCGGTTATACGGACTAACCTTATTCCTCGGGACCCAAGCCGAAACCGATTTTTTATACGGAGGTACTATCTATGTAGTACCATTGTACATTTGAAAGCCATAGCTCTTACCAATCTATTCACAAATTTTTTCGAAACGTTCTCGAAATACTTACTTGTTCCTTTTGAAGCGGATTTCTTTGGATCACTACCCAAATAGAATACCTGTCCAGTGGGCTCCCGTGTACGTATGAACATAGAGATATCCAGTATGGAGCGAATGGCACGACGTGCAGCCTCATTTGTCTCTACAATTACAGCCGAGTGTGTGGTGTTCTCATGACCAAATGTGGCGGCAGTTATATCTTAAAAATAAAAGGACAAATAAGTTGTCGCTAAAAGAAGCTACCACTACGCACACCTCAACAGGTAACTTACTGTATTTGCAGGTGTGTCCAAAATGTGGACGCTGGCAGGTGCACGAGAATGTATGCCACAAATCTGTGCAAGCGCCATTCGAGTGACATGGATTTGGTACACATTGCTCATTACGTGGACAGCCGGCCTGTATATTTGTTAACTTGGTATCTTTTTCGGTGCCTTGTTCCTCGGGAAAAATCCATTTGCCATTCACAACTATATCCTGCATGCAGCCAACGAAACTCGAGGGGCGATGCGGCAAATGACGCAAGTAAGATTTCAAATTGGGTATAGTGCCACCTAAATAGGTGAGTGGAAATGACGGTTGACTGCCATTGGCGGTCTCATATGAACCCACCGGGAATATGGCCTGCTCATCATTGGCAGAGAGCACTAAATGCGAAGTGTTAATGGCGACGAATACTTTATGCCAGTTGCTATCATTCAGCTTGGAACCGATGAATACGCCCTCCCATTTGTTAAGCAACGAAGAATGTAAATTCAGTCGACCATTTATTAACTCCAATATATAGCTAACGGGTTCATTATGACCAATCGAGGTGCCAAAAGCGAGCACACCATTGGGTAGTGTGGTCTTAAATTGCAAATTGATGTCATAACCTTCTTCGCGTTGCGTCTTCACGGTGATTAGACTGCTCACCACCATTGAAATTGTTGTGGTCTTCTCGCATATATCACCCTGGAAACCATGTTGGCAGGTACAGTTGAAAAGATGTTCGGTTTCATTAACCAAATACGGTTTGCAGTAACCGCCATTCTGACAAGGCGCACTCGAGCAGCCTATCAGGGGTACAGAGCAGTTTTTACCGCCATAATTGGCATCACAATCGCAAGTGTAGTCGTTGATCTCATCGAAGCAGGTGCCGTGTGCGCCACAAGGTTGATATCTATTGAGGATAAAAGAAAAGGTATTAATAGAACATTTTTTTTTATAGTTAAGTGTAGTGGGGAGTATTTGTGCAGTGGGCTCTGAGCACGCTAAAAATGGATGCCACTAACCTGTCACACTCGTCGATATTCACATCGCAGTGTCGTCCCTCGAAACCCGGATCGCATTCGCAAGTATATGTGCCAATCTGTGAATACATATTCAAATTATTACTTAAGTCTTTGCGTCGAAATTGCCGGTAGTGACTTACTCCATCATTGCATGTTCCATGCTTGCCACACGGATTCGTTTCGCATTCATTGATGTTGATCTCACAATTCTTGCCCATAATACCCGGCACGCAAACGCACTCGTAACTGCAAGTAGTAAAAAAAATGTTTTATGGCAAATTTCGAGAAAAAGTATTGGGAGTGCCTTAAGTTTTGCCTATCTAGAAATAGCACTTCAATGTAGGTAAAAGATCGTGTGCTGTCTAAACTCTCCAACGCCCCGGAACGACTAATATTGGGTTGAATTTACTTTGGAGTTCTACCAAACTTGTTTCGGGAAGCTTTGGAGGTGGTTATTCAGATTCCGGTTGGACATTCTAGAGGGTATTTAATACTAAATCATGACCCACTAAAGCTGGAAACACATTCTAGTAATATTTATCTATTCAAAAATGAAGGCAAGCCAAACCGCTTTTTCGAAGAAGTACGCACAATTACAAGTTCTACTGAGAACAGTTTACTATACCTTTCTTTAAGATCGAGGGAACCATATAAATGTTAGTACACATTGGACCCCATAAACAATTGGAGATCAAGTAGAGATCCAATGCAAATTCCAGGGTCCAATGTTGATTATCAAGCGTACTTCAATTGCAGAACCAACCCCTTCTCTAACAAAAGGGCATATTTTTGGTATGCAAAATAATCTGAGTTCTTTACTTGAGAAAAGCTTGGAAATCAATTTGAATTCAAACTTTATTCAACATTTAGTCAAACCTTGGGAAAAATGTTGGAGAAAAATGTAAATAGTTTATCCACTTGGTAATCAAGAATTTATCTAAGATTGGAAAAAAGTTGGAAAAATGTTTGCTTTGTACATATTGGGTATATAATAGGCGCCTACAGATGCAGGGATGGAGTGCTGCATCCGGCCATGGATCGTACTTCTATTTATTGGCGAATTAGTATCCGAAAGCAGGAATAAGACCTTTTTCCATTGTTATGGCTTGGCTGCTAGTAAGCCGAGTAAATCCAAAGCCGCTGTGGCTCAGTGTTTAGGAGTAAGCACTACCATTCTGTTGGGCCTGAGTTAGATCCCTGTTCCGGGCAACATCTACTTTAGAAACAAGTTTTTTTCTAACAGCGGTCGACCCTCGGCAGGCAGTGACAAACCTCTAAGTGTATTTCTGCCTTGAACAAGCTTCTCAAAAAATCCATTTGCTTTTCGGAAGTCTTTCCTTTCTCCAATTATTGGAGGCGAAGCTCGACCAAATACTTAACAAGAGTGTAAGCGGAAATGTATTACAGAATTTGATCTTTGACACAGGGTGAAATATCTTGACCTAAACTGAGCATTGCAGAACCACCAAGGAAGACCTCGGTCTCCCGCTATGTAGATAAAAGAATGCTAGGCAGCAGATGGGCATTAAAGCCATGAATTCGATTTCCACAGATGTGATCTGACCCATACTTTCATATGAAGCGCTTATCTGCTGGCCAGCTCTTACTAAGAATAATTTCGTTAGAAAATTTCATCAAAGTTCAGAGGCCAGCTGCTGTTGAAGCAACTGGTGCAATGAGGTCCTGCCCAAAGCAGGCTTTGAACATTCTGCACAATTTTGTACCGATAAAGCAGTTTTTATCGAAAATTTAGTTGCCACCAAGGCAAACAGATTCCACAGTGCAACGTATTGAAAATGAGGGTGACTCGGCCATAGTGGTATCCTATGACCATGTGACATAAAAGCGCCGCCCACATACTATACCATCCATAGACCAACAACAAACCCTAGGCGCAATGGCTGGACTTACGAAGAGGACCATGCTTAGGAGGCATCACATCTTCACAGATGGAGTAAAGTTGTAATCCGGGTAGGTGCACGGCTTTTGATTGCATAACTTATTTTGCATTTATTGATTTTTTTGGTTGATTTTTCCGAGAGGGTAGAAAGAAGATTTATTTTGGAACGCATTTCCATTATACCTTGTCAAGCATGGTTTGGTGCACCATTTTTCGTTCTGTCAATTATCCTTTCGCCATAAGTTTGAGTCGAAGATTGACGGAACGAACGGTGGAGGCCGGTCAGACGATTAGTTACTCAAAGGCGTGCTGTCGCCAAGGGAGCTAAATATGTATCTACTCTGATAGCCAGGCGGACATCTAGGTTTTGGACTAGTTAACAGTACGCTGCAAGTTAGTATCTAGTGATCTCTCCTTTAGCTTTCGAAGTCCGAAGTTTGATTGCAGATATACTTCATTATGCCCTTGTTCATTACAAGACCCAAATGCAGCTCTCATCACCTTCCCAACATTACATTAAAGAAACCACACGACAGCAAGCCGCCCATTTTACAAAGCCGTATTAGGGATACTAATTACAGACGAAGCGGCATAAAGTCAACTACCCTTCATGCTGTCGAAGCGGCTTTGAAATCGACAAATGAATGGTATGCGTCGACCCGCTTCACTGGAGTCTTTTTCAAGATTTTTTTAGACCTAAAACCACTCTGATAAGGCCCAAAAAGTTCATTGACTGTAGACTTAAGTCTTTCTCATAATACGCCGATGCTTCGAAGACCCGAATAGCTTAACAGGCAGGTCGTCAGCGCCAGCAGCTTTGTTGGTTTACAGCTGGGAAATTATTGATATTCGCACCCTGTCCTAGTCGCGTGGTCGGATATCGATTCTATTGCCAACGACTGTGGACTCGGGTACATCTTCTCCACTGGTTTCAGTAGTGTTATCGTTCAATAGGGTGCTCGCCGTTACTGTCTTTTCAAACCCTCGCCCTGGCCTTGAAATCTTTCTTAAACATTTTTGAAATCTATCTGTATCAAAAAATCTCCCTACTCTGGAAATTTTAACCAATTTGGACATGTTTTTCTCGTCGTGGTCGTTATTAATTTTATTTATAGGCAGTGCTACGTCATGGCACAAACTTATTTATTGGTATTCATGCGGTGAGCCTATATATCATACCGGATACACACTCTTGCAGTTCTCATTTTGAGGATTGATCGAGCACCTCTACGACCTACCCATTTTATCTAACCTGTTTCTTTAGAACGACTCAACTTTCTTAATTGATTTTACGATCCTCGAAACTCTTCTTAGTTTGCACATAAATATTAAGGGTATTCATCGAAAAGCGTAAATGCCTCGTAACCACTTACTTAATTCTGTATGGAACACCGGATTGTTTACAGGGCTTACGCGGTTAGGCAGCATTTAAGAGCTTAGATATATACCTATCCTCTCTTTGTGAGATATTCCCAATTCATTTTCCCCCTTTTTGTGACAAATGAGATACAAATCTTTTGACGCACTTACCCACTTGCATTCAGATAAGAAAACGGTCGATTAAAGAACTCTGGCAGACCATCCATCGTTTTACTCAACCCATACAAAGTCATATTGGATCGTTCCAAACAATTGCCATTATATAAACAAGGATTACTTTCGCATTCATTGATGTCGGTTTCACAATTTTTCCCAGTGTAGCCTGGATAACATTTGCAACGGTAATCATTTATATCATCTATGCAAGCAGCACCATTCAGACATGGCTGCGATTCACATTCGTCGATATTCAGCTCGCAAAGTTGTCCCTCATAGCCTGTGTTGGCGCAGTCACAACGAAAGCCGCCCAATTCGTCTATGCAGTGGCCACCATGTTGGCAAGGCGCCGAAATACAATCATCGATATCGTTCTCACAGAAGCGTCCCGTCATGCCAGGTATGCAGGAGCAGGTGAAGTTATTGATCATGTCGATGCATGTGGAGCCCTTCGTGCAGGGATTACTATCGCATTCGTTAATATCGACTTCACAATTGATGCCGGTATAACCTGGTTGGCAGACGCATTCGTAGGCGTTGATCTGGAGAAGAGGTAGGATTGTAAATTAAAGTTTTTAAAGCTAAATTGCTTAGCAAACAATGTTAAGAAATAGGGATTTGGAAGGGTTAACAAAGAATATTTTAGAGCTAAAATTGGTAATGGTAGACATTTTAAATAAAGGAATAATAAAGTCTGGATGTATACTTTTTTTTATAACATAGCAAGTTCACATAATAAAAAACTGTCCGACCTGACTATAATCCAATAATTTTTAAAGCTCATAATTTAGCAATTCAGATTTATAAGGAGAATAACATACCAGACGAAAGTGCTTCCGAAACTATAATCTCGAGAACTAGTAGAAATTTCCTAAAAGATATGTAAATTCGAGAACGCTGAGATTATTTAGGGGCGGACAACCAGACTATTTTCGTAGTTGCATGACACAAAAGAAATGTTACATTTGATATTAATATATCGACTTTTTCAAAGCTTATTGGAATGTTTTCGCGCAAATTACTTAAAGCAGCTTCACCGCCGTTCCCACAGCCACGAACGCCAATTGCGCAAGGTAGGTATTTCTGCAGCGACTTGCTTCATTTCATCCGGACGTATGGCGGTAGTGCGTCCAAACTTTCCGACAGAAGCGGCTGTTCTAGAAAATGAGCATGATCACTTACGTCAGGTTGATCCCGGGGATCCCCGCCTAAGGGACCAGCATTTGGAGATTTGGCAACTTGTAAATCAACATAAGCAACATCACCTCTGGTCTGAGCAAGCTCTGGTCAATCGTGAGGTCCCATGCCTCATCGGTCCCGAAGAAATGCGCGAGCTATATTCACATTACTTCCTCCGGTAGATAAGTGAGTGATCAGGACGCTACACAAATTGCCCACAAACAGTGCACCACTAGGTAAGCATCGTGGCTTCAACCGTAACCACCCCTGTGAGAGAACAGTCCTTGTTGGACCAGTCAAAAGCGTTTGGCACCGTTTACCATTCCACGTTAATAGAAGGCGTCGAGGCATCTCTCCTACAAGGACTAAAACGGTGGTCGGCGAATTATCTGATTGGCCGATAGTCGTCGTTAATTATTTCTGACGGTGAACAACCCGAACATTTTAGGGGTTACCTTTGGCAGCCTGCTTTCCTTCTACGCGCACATAACCGCAATCGCCAATACAGTACAAAGCCGCAACAAGGTCATCAAGCCGCTCATCGGCAGCACCTGGGGTAAAGACAAAGAAACGTTGCTGACAACATACAAAGCAATTCGGCGGCCCGTTCGGAACAAACGTACATACTGACGAGCGATTAACGGCGTTCATAGAGATTCGCTTCACCACTTAACACGGCTCCCGCGCTACTCTGGCCCAGTTACGGCCAGGTTATTTTAACCCCAATGAGCATCAGGCATATGGAGTCTCCTCCCACAAAACCAACCACCTCTTCACATAACAGCTCAATCCCATTCAGGTAACAACCCACTCCCTTTGGTCCGAACCCGCCGAAATAGCTGGCTTCTTGGGCCTGCCGTTAGTTGAACTTTACGACAATTATTAATGAAAAAATCTGGGTTACTAGCGCCGCTACAAAAACCACAACAAGAAAACTTACAACAAGAAGAAGATTGCGCACGCTTGGAAAACCATCCATTGAGGCTGTCCTGAGGTCTTACATGGGAAAATACTTGAGAGCTTTGGCCAAGATCATTACGTTAACAAAGTGGTTTGTACCCAAATGTGTTTGTTTTTTACATCGGAACAAAAATGCCCCAACAAGTTTTTGGATGATGCCGCTGGAGCAACAGTCCTTGGCCAGATATGATTCGGGTCGTATCGATTTTTGAAATATTAGTAGGATTTTTCGGCTAGGTCGTTTTTGTAATATTTTTTGGAACGATTTTCGTTATTCCGTGCAAATTTGGTTTGAAGACAAACCAGTTTCGGCGCTGTACGAACTTCAGTGTAATTTTTCGATTTTATGGCTAATGCCGAATTTCCACTAGGCAATGACATGACAACAAATTGAATGCATTTAAAATATGCCATGTGGAAAAAATTTAGTGACTATATTTTTGACGTTAGGACATGAATATTTTTTAATGCCCAACACTGCCACTAAAATTTTTATCATTTAATGCCTAGTGGAAATCCAGTATAAGACAGCAGCAATTCTAAAGTGTTCACTAAAGAGAAAGTTTAGAAATTACAGGTTGTACAAAAAGGGTACATTCTTAAAAAAAATTAGTGAAGATACAAAATTACATAAGGGAAACGCTACAAGCTGTAATAGGGTTAATCCCCATTATTCATTTACAGTTGAGAGAAGCTCTATAATGTTTTTTAACTAATTTTGTGTGGGCTATGAAAATTGGGCCCGTCAGATGTTTTCATACAAGGAAAGGATATTACAGGAACTAAATATATACAAGCAAACCACTAAGTTCTAGAAAATGTCTAAGGAGTATATTTCAAGACGATGGAATCTGATTTTGAAGCAAATAAGTTAAAAGCTCATTACTCCACGAAACTATCCATGACTCACTTGTCTCAAAATCCGATGTTTTCCATATTTAAAAAAGAACAACTATAAACATTTTAAATGCAAAAGACATAGTAAAAAAATAGAAAACAATCACAAACTCACCTTATTATTGCACGTCGCACCATTCTGGCACGGATGACTCAGGCACTCATCCACATCGGAGTCACAGTGTTTGCCCGTAAAACCCGGCGTGCAATAGCACTTGTATGAGCCCTCCTCATTCTTGCAAATGCCATTACCGCAAATATTCGGATCCAAGGCACATTCGTCAACATCTTTGGTGCATGTGCGCCCCGTCCAGCCGGACGTACAACTGCAGGTGTATTCGCCATTGGGTCCATCTGCACAAACGCCACCATTTCGACACGGCTGCGCCGAGCAGGGCGTACATACCTTATTCTCCGGACAAACGCACTTACTCAGCTGGCATACCATCGGTTCTTGGCAATTTGTCGCAGTACAGGGTTCGGCCTTCTCGCAGCGTTCACCCGAAAAGCCGCTAGCACAGTAGCAGTGAGTGCCATTCATTGAGCAAGTGCCACCATTGAGACACTTGCCGCCATTGAGGCAGTTGACGAGCGGACCAACAGTGTTGATGGCGCCACTGCCGGTCGATGGCATGCTTGTCGGGCCATCTGTGGCGAGTAGTTCGCAATTGTAACCTGTAGTAGGGTGAGGCGAATTATTAGTGGAACTAATTGATAACTGCGTATACAATTTTTTTTGTTTTCAAAGGTTTGTTGTCTATTCAACCGAAGAGTAATTCGTGATGGTTATCAAAACTAGCAAACCAAACGCCAGCAATATAAAATTTTCGATATTCAAATTAAACTAAGTTTGTGGACATACGATACATGCATGAGTATTTAACTCACTACACTACACTAAAATGGTAAAAAAAAANAACCGAAGAGTAATTCGTGATGGTTATCAAAACTAGCAAACCAAACGCCAACAATATAAAATTTTCGATATTCAAATTAAACTAAGTTTGTGGAATACGATACATACATGAGTATTTAACTCACTACACTACACTAAAATGGTAAAAAAAATAAAATATTATAAAAATCCAGCGGCACTACATAAATACATATGAGTTAATTGATACTAAATTCACTACAATAATTTCTACCAAATTTGCTTTAATCCTTTATACGATTTCGGTGTGTAGAGCGGTAAGTATTCGGTTTTAATTTACAAGTATTTTGTAGGTAATTGTATGTATAGAATTGTAATATTTTAAATGTTGTTTTGTTCCAAACCTGTGTATCCACTAGCACATAAACAAGTAAAATTTGAAGCATTTCCACTACAAGTACCACCGTTCAAGCAATTATCGGGAGGACATGCATTTAATTGAGCCGGGCGTATTTGCTGTACATTGGATAATAGCGGACTAATTGTTGCTGTTGTTGTTGTTGTTGTTGTTGCAGTTTTTGTCATTGTTGTTGCTGTTGCTGTGGTAGCTGTAGTTGCTGTCAATTGTGATGCTATGGCAATTGTGGCTGTTGTTGGAGTAGTAGCTGTTGCTGTTGCATTACTCGCCACCAATATGGGTGGTGTTGTTGGTATTGGTAAACAGTGGCCAATGGGGCCTAAATTAAGAGATTAGTGCCAATTCAAAGGATATAGATAGTACATACAAACATAGTTATAGTCACCAGAATTAGAAGATGTGTATGTAAATATATTTGTCTGTATGTATGTGTATTTGTGAGTGTATGGGCTTGTGTGAAAAGCATTTGGTAAAGATTTATATAAAGTTTTTTTACATTTATACATTGACCTATAAAATCTTAGAGGATATACATATTTCAATGTTTGTACATAGGTAAATGTGGACATTAGGGTGCATCACTTTCCATAAAAAAAAAATTGGTACTGTTTATCCATCGGAAATATAAAACTTATGCCGGTTTTGTTTCTACCGAAAAATGCAAGCTTCTCTTTGCCCTCTAGGCACAAATACTAAAAAGAGGGCGATGAGAAGGCAACATTTTTAGTAGAAACGAAATCGCCATTAATTATGCATTATATTTTAAAAATTCCGCCATAAAATATATTTGAAGAGCTCGAGCTTTTTTAAAACACCTCCACAAATCGATTTTTTTTTATAAATAAAATAAGTTTCTCAAAATGATTTATTTTGGAACGAATTTCCGTCATCCCTTGTCAAGTTTGGTTTGCATATTTGTTTCTGAAAAATAACCACAGATAAGAAGAGTTTTAGCTTAGAAGGTATAACTCGAAAACCATTCTTTAGAAATATATTTCAAACTTTCTATCTGCGAACTCAAATTAGTCTTTAAAAAACCTTTTCAAATGTTTATGTTTTCGAGGGCAGGTTTAATATGCATGAAAAAATATCAAATGTTTTGCACCACTATTTTCAGAAAGACAGGTAATTTTCAGCGGAACGGCAAAAAATAATGCATATCTACACACATGTGTATGTATGTATGTAATATATAGAGTGGTCTAAAATTCATGTGAAAATTTAAATTCGTAATTTTAATGCACTCCCTAGGATTGTTCTATACCGAAGAAATCTACTCCAATTTTTATTTTGAAAAAAAAAAAATATTTGGAGGTTACAAATTTTTCCATGTATTTTATATGGGAAAAACAACTTATTTCTCTTCAGGAGACTTCCAATATAATACCCAATTGTTTATTTAACCATTTTTTATAGTCAAAATATTTTATTTTTAGAACTTTATATCATGGATGCAGGTCAAAGAGCAAATCTTTTTTCTAATGACCTATATACCTTTCCACTAGTTATTGG